TTATACTTTTTTCTACTATGATCAAGGTTATAATTATATTTTGATTTTATAAATTTATAAAATGCTTTTATAAAAAAATATCTTGAAATTTAAATGACGATGATCTATTTAAAAATAAATTAAATAAGAAAATTAATTTTGAATATTGTAATATAATTGATAGAATGAAAATATTATGTATCATATTGTATTTTACATTTATAATTATTTTCACTAATAGCAGCTTCTTGAGTAATAATTGTTTTGACTGTTGGTATTTTATTGAGTAAATGTAATTTTTTTGGTATCTTTATAAAATATTAATGATAATATGAATAATTTAGAATATTTTGTAAATAAGATATATTTAATGTATTACTTTGACATCCAATACTTGCATAGGTTGTAAAATTTTGTAGAGATAAATTAAAAGAATATTTAAGGTTTTACTTTGGCATCCTACAGTTGCATAGTGTAGTTATAGGCTCATCTGTTTGTATAGATATTGAAAAAAATATATATATATAAATCAACAAATAAAAAATAAAATAAATACGTACCGATGACATGACATCACGATGACGTAGTGTGGACATCGGAAAATTATAATATAATGCACAGACAGAATAAATAACAAATGATTAAACTGAAATTACATTATATTTTTTTCATTTTTAAAATACCTACATTATATAGTATTTATTAACAATTAGTTAAATTAAAATATATATAAAAATAAATTAAAATATAAATTGATTAACTTATAAAAAAAAATAAGTCAAATGACCCTTATTTTAAGATTAGTTTTAAAATAAAAAATTAGAATAGTAAAATATAAATAGAGCGTTAAAAGGATTGTAAATTTTATAGAATGTTCTTGTGTTATCCTAACAATTTACTGGTTTAATGTTTATATTTACAACTTAACTTAAATTAGAAGATAAATACCAACTATTTTATATAATAAGTTAAATGTCAAATTATAGATTACCAATATTTTATTGTTTGTGTTTGACTTGAAAAGGCAAACTTATAAATCAAAATGTTCGATACAATGAAGGCTACATTTACAAAAGACTTTCAAATCAACATTACCAGAATTCTCGCAACTACTATAGCTCTTCAAAATCAAAGCCAAATAAAATCATATTTTAGTATTTTCATAATAATTTAAAATACCGTAGAAATAATATTTTAAATTTATATATTTATAAATTATGATTTGTAATAATTATTTAATTTGATGCAATGACTCTATTTATATTTTCATATCCTTCTTATAGTAAAATTATTAATAATATTTTACAAAATCCAGAAAATCTAAATTGGAGAAAATTGATATATTTGCCAAAATTAATATTATCAAATCCACCAAAAGATAATTCAACTCCACTATGCCAAACCATCAAAGTAAGAATTGAAAACTTTTTAATTTTTTAAAATTAACACCAAATATCAACGATCCTGCTAAAAAGACTTTAAGTAACTCTTCACACAAACTAATATATAATAAGATTAATAATTTCAATCTAAAAGAAACTCTCCGAGCTTTTGCTAACGCAAACACTTTGGTACCCGATAATATCACCACAAGAAATCAACTTTTGGAAAAACATCCGAGCCCCAAATACATTTCTCAAATACTGCCTATAATAAATTTAAAGATAAATATCACTCGCGGAGAAACCTTAACCGCTATTAAATCTTCTCCAAACAATCTGCTCCAGGACTGGATTACCTTCGACCCTCATTTATTATTGGCCTCATGGGTTTAGACAGTTCCGAATTTCTACTTAATTCTTTAACGAAAATTTTTAATCTTATTATCAACGGGAATTTACCACATAAACTAGCACCAATAATCTTTGGTGCTCGACTAATTGCGCTTGAAAAAGCTGAAAATAAGTGCGCCCGATAGCTATTGGAATTTTCTACCGATGAACCATTTCAAAAAATATTTGTAATCGACTGAAATCTACAATAACCTTAAGCTTAGCTCCTTACCAAGTGGGATTTTTATAAAAAGGAGGCTGTGAAGCCGCCTCAAACCTGAAGATCATATAGCAAAACCAGACATATCCAATGCTTTAAATTTAATTAATCGAAATAAAATGATCGATACTTTCTTGGAAACATTCCCTGACTACCACAATTATATCCATCTTAACTGTGGCATTCCTTCCTTATTCAAATTTAATAATTATATTATTAATTCTGCAGAAGGCCTCCAACAGGGTGATCCATTACGACCACTACTTTTTTGCTATACCCTTAAACACCTAATAAGTGATATTGCTCTCTCATGCAAACTCAATCTATACGTTTGGTACTTGACGATTGTACTATATCGGGGACCATTTCTTCAATCCAGAATTGTCAAGATATAATCAACAAACACTTTGATGAACTTAATTTATCCTTAAATATAAATAAATGTGAAATTTATCTTTCTCCGCCTCCAACAGACAACATATTAGATAACTTTAGACAGACACCCTTACAAGATTTCAATATATTAGGAGCCCCATTGGGAGGTGCAGAGGGAGTTTTTAATTTTTTAAATAATCACCTTCAATCATTATTCCCCAAACTATCGATCTTAAAAAAATTACCCACCCAACAAGCATATTACATTCTCAAAAATGCCCTTTTAATACCACAAATCCAGTATTGTTTAAAGACTTCTGGTGCCTTCTCTTTTGAAATTCTTTTAAAAGAATATGAACAAAAGATACTACAAATGATGACAGAGTTATTAAACATCAAACTCGATTCTAACTCATGGCTTCAAGCAACTCTCCCTTGTAAATCCGGAGGACTAGGCCTAAGATCGGCATTAAGTATAGCCCTTGTTTCCTTCATCTCATCAACCTTAGAAGTAAAAAATATTACCTCGCAAATTATTACCATCGATAAAGATAATTTATTAGATGAAGCCTTATGTTGTTGGAATATTAATGTCTTACCAAACACAGCCCCACCAGATTCAACGAAACAAAAAGATTGGGATCAAGGATTGGTATCTCGTTCCTTAGATTACCTCAACTTGAGCGATGATAACCAATATAAATCCCTCCTAAGATCACTTAATTTCAACAACTCTGGCCATAAATGGTTAGATTCATATCCCAGCATTTTATATAACCAGCTACTAGATAACGACGTTTTTCGTTATACAATCAATTTACGCTTGGGCGTACCTTTTCTAAACCATTATATTTGCATTAAATGCAATCAATCGGCAGATGCATATGGGAGACACCCTCTCCACTGTAAATTTATATCAAAAATCAGCCGACATGATAAAATAAATACAATAACAGCTTCTTTTTTAAATAAAGCCTTCCCTGTATTTTAGAACCGATATCTTTTTTAGATAAAAAACGCCCTGACAGCAAAACAATTGTACCTTTTTTAATGGGAAATCCTTTAATGTGGGATTTTACCTGCATTGATCCCATGGCCCCATCGAATAATTCTCATGATCCCCTTAAAAGAGCCGAATCTCTAAAAAATATAAAATATACCTAATGTGTGACAACCACTTTGTTCCCATAGCTGCTACGTCAACTTGCTCTTTTGGACAAGCGACATTGGATCTCTTAAATCAATAAAAAAATCATACCTTTCTCCATTTTATAAACTCAAGCAGAAAATCGCCGTATCTATAATTAGATCTAATTATCAAATATTTAAAACATCATGACCCGACCTCGCCACTTGATATTTTTTTTTAAATGTTTTTTCTTTTATAAAAATATACATTTGTATCAATTTTTTTTTAACTTAAACTTATATATGACATATTTTATTATATTCTCTATATTATAATGTTAATTTTTAAATAATAATATTTTATCATATTTGTATATGAATTTTAATAAAAAATTGAATTTTAAAAAAAAAATAGAATATTTTAAAGAATTTTTGATAATTTCGAATGGACCCTATATTTTATTCGAATAATTAACAACTACTACATAAAGCATCAGTCTTTCTAATCTAAACATAGAATAAGAAAAATAATTATCGATCTTCCAATAAATTATTTTACAAAATAATTATTTCATAAGCTAGGAATATCGAATTGAAGATAATGTTTTAAGTTCTGATCAAACAAAATAATAATTCAACAAACCAATGATCGCAGTGATTAGTTCTTATAAATAGCCAAATGCTTATATTAATAAGTCTAACATATTCGTGAATAAAAAATTTTTTTTAACTCAAATATATGAACCGTGAACTCAGAAAAGAATGGCGCGTTATTCCAAGTATATCAAGTATATTAATATAGATCGTTAAAATATATTATTTAATTTTAGAAGCATATTTTACATTAAAATCAAAGGTGAGAAACCGAGCATCACAAGAGTTCAAAATATATAAATAGTAGTGGACATTTTAGCGTATGCGTGACCTGCGAGAACCCGCTGGAATTAGATTCGACCAAACCAGCAAAATTTTAATTTTTTTCCCCCTAATTCTTTTACATCGAATATTTAGATTTCTCCTAAAAATATACTTTTTCCTCAATCTCTTTCTTTAATTATTTTTAATATAGAATCAGACTCTGACCTACATTTATGCTAGTAATTTTGATTGGTGTCAGATCTTTGAAAAAAAAAGGATTAGATAGGTAGAACAAAAAATATTTAATTTGCTTTCCTCCGATTGAGCTCGACCTCAAAAATATGCCAAAGGCAGGACTCTAGTGTGTAGTATGTGATTCTTATATCACTCGATACATTTTAATTCAACTAACAGATATGCTAAATTTTTAAAATTTATAATAATAAAAAAATAAATTTTAATCAAATTTTTTTCAATATTTAAATTAAAAAAATAATTAATGTTTTTTAAAAAAAAAATAATATAAGTAAAGTAAAATTTAACAGAGGCTAACCGAATATTTTCCTTATTAAGAAAAAATGAAATTATATTATAACAGTTTTTGTAAAAAATCATTATAATCTATGTAAAAAAAATCATTAAATAGTAATTATAACATTTGGGCCTATAATTGAAATTGATAAACATCACTCTTCCTCTACATCCTCGTCATCTAATTCAACTTCTTCTTCCTCTTCCTCCTCTTCTTCTTCCTCCGCCTCTGGGCTTTTTTTAATCGGAGATGAAGTTCCCTTTTTACTTTTTCTTTTTGAAGTTCTTGTACCAGTCTCCTCAGTTTCAACTTCTGGTGGATTTTCGGCAGTTATTGTATCAAGGGTCATGAGAGATGCAAAAATTGTCATCATCATTTTGGGTTTCAGCTTTTTGGTGCATTATTAACAGTACAAAATATAATTATTGTGTTTGTTTTCCTTAAACCAGAATTATATAAGATTTACAAAAACAGAATTTAAAATAATACCTAAAAAAATTATCAAATCCAAAGTTTTAATTTCTATAATACAGGTATTAAGTTTCTCGTCTCTAATTGATATTTGATAGGATAAAAATAAATTGTAGAAACAAAATAATTAAGAAAGAAATTTGTGGAAATATTAAATAAAGGGCTCAATATTTCGACAATATATTTTTGAGTTAATTTTATAAGCAATCCTGTATAAAAATGAATATAATTTTTTATTAACGCATGTCTAAACAAGATTGTGTTTTTTGGCTACTATGGAAAATAAAAAAATTATGTTTTTTAAAATGTTATTGTCCTTTAAATAATTATTGATCTATCTTAATTTTATTGAAAAGATAGATGGGGGGGGGGGAGTCTAACTCTTCTTCACCCCTTTCTCATCTGTTAAGATTAACTTTGATTGATAAGCTTATTTATCCTCTATGACTACATTATTACCTAGATGGAAGCTGCCAAACAGAGGCTTTAACCATAAAGAAAAACCATACAAATTTATAAATGTAATTTTATATGTTTTGACTTTTTTTCTAGTTTAATTGATATCACGTCATTATTTTTCGATAAATGAAATTTTTCAGAAAAAAGACATTTTAAAAAAAAAGTGAAAATCAAATTTTTTTTTTTTAAATGTAGATAATTGTATAACGATTTGAAATCTTCAAACTTCATTTTTAGCAAAAAAACGAAGGTCATGCTAATTAGTGCATAATTATGCTACTATCCTTTTTTCCATAAAATTTTATCATTTTCTCCCTTTAAAAATAAAATCAATAATTTTTTTTAACTTCCAAAACGTCCTCAGGTAAAGCAATGATTACTGCTCCCAATTTACGTGACAACGAAATAGCATACCCTATGTTTGAGAGACGATCTTCATCAGAGATGTTTGCATCTGGGACACCACTATCCGTGTAACCTTTGACCAATCTAAACAATGTAACAATTTATTTTAGGCCTTTCCTCTGGCAATAGGGTTTAACTAATATCAGAATAAGACTGCGATTATGAAGATTATGAATAAGTCATGGACATATTTATGTAATATACTTTTACTAAAAGAAGTGAAATAGTTTTTACCCCCAACTAACTCTCCCAGGTTTAATGCACTCAAGCAATTCTAGAATGGCAATTCCATCTACCAAATTGGGATCCGTGAAACTTTTGAAGGTTCTTTTTTTTTCGTTGTCTTTTAGTTTGGTGGCAGCCCATTGAATAATGTCTTTATCCTGGATTTTTCCGCCTGGTTTAAGTTTGAGCAATATACTCATTGTTTGCTTGTGTAGCAGTTGGTATAGCAAAGACATAATAGCATTCTTTTTCATATCGTAAATATCAGCTCCACCTATTCCAACCTAAAATTTAAAAAAAATAACTAATTCAAAAATGTCTATACAAAAATATATCAATTTTATTCTCGGTTTTTTTAACTATTTTTTTATTGAGATTCATAAAACCCCGTAAAATTAGCGACTTAATTTACCAATGAAACGCCAAAACCTTTAGCTACTTCGACAACTTGTACACAATTCTCCCGTTTATCAATCTTGGCTGTAGCTTTTTTGAAAGTTTTTTTTACTTTGGTCCAGTCAACACTTTTGGGCTGCATTTTATCAAGTAATCCGCACAACACTATTCCATCCTGCAAATCAGGAAACAAATACTTGACCCTAGGCATAACGCCTAAAGAATTTATCCAATTTCTGAAAGTTTTTTCTTCCCTCGTCTCCTCGATTTTTTCCTCGGGGGCTTCTAAAACATCTATTGGTAGAGACGGATGATTGTTAAATAAATTTGCTACAAATGCCAAACACAGTTTGTAGTTTCCTGTACTAACATCTCGGGATGTTATAAAATCTCGACAACCCAATTTGTTGGCTTGATCTAGCATTATATCAGCTCTCTTAGTTAAATTTGGTTCAATCATAGCGTCCATTGTTATGGGCACCTCTCTTGGAGCTATCTGTCGGATAAGATTTGAAAATATTTCACAGTCTTGAACATCTTTCGTAAAGTTTTTCATTCTTCTTTTGCATTTAGCCAATGCCAACTGATAGTTGACCCATCTCATCAGAATTTTCTCTGGGGACATTTTTATAAAATCGGAGAGCTCTTCGTTAGGTTTCAATAGCACCTAACAAAAGTATTTTTTTATAGTATATAGATTATGCATGATCATATTTATCACCTATAGATGCTTTTAATTTAATAAATAACATATTTTAGAGTTATTCATATCCATAAATTTATTTTGAACCATATTTTCTATTTCAAAATATTTAATTTAATTATGGCATCATAAAAAGTTCTAAACCATTGGGTCTAATAATAAATTAGAACTGCTATTAAATTTTACCTCATGAGGATAAAAATTATGAAAATTTTTAAAACTTAGTTTTGAGCTTAGTTAAAATAGAAAGATATTCTAAACCTGTGTCTAGTGATAATTTAGCATTGCATATTTTACTCCACGAGGGAAAAAGGTTTTGATATTAAAATATGTTCTTGAATCTTTTGGTTCATAAAGAAATTTTTGCCATTATTTTTTAATTATCTCGTAAAAATTAGAAATATAAAAAATTTTATATAATTACATTTTGAATCTAGTTAAAAGTTTTTCATAATAGAAAGAAATTCTAAAAGCATTGTGGCTAGTAACAAATTGGCACCGCTAATATTTTACTCCACAGGAAAATAAGACTATGAAAAAATGTTAAAACCTTGCTTTAGGCCTATAATAGTTTTATACTAGAATGATAAACACAAAATTATCGATGATTTAAAAATTTAATTAAACATAGGAATTTATAATAATATATGTGTTAGGTATTATATGCTATGATTAATACTTGTAATCCTGGATGAGATTTAAGATCCAACCTAGCGAACAACCCTAAAATAATAAGTTGCCGCAGGAAACTCAGAATAAGATGAGCTCTCTCTTTCAGAAAATCTTCTGCGTGAATATTGGTAGTGTTCACTCCAATAGCCCGAGCGGAATTGACGGCCAAGTTTAAATTTTCATGCTTCTTGAAAATACTCAGTTCTTTATCTTCTCGTTTATTCAAAGTCCGTTCGTCTATAGTGTTTGCTTGAACAGTGTTCACCAATTTGCAGAGTAATAAACCATCTTTGAGTTTCGGGAAAAACTTTCCAGTTTCCAATGGCATCATAAATTTTAAGTCAGCGTCCGGTTTCAATAGTTTGTTTATCCAATTAACGTAAGCGGCTTCTTCTTCTGCGGTAACGGAATGTTTGAGACGTTTCTGGTTATTTATATAATTATATTTATAAACATTTTACATATACATTATTTTTAGTTTAAGGCTTATATTTATATAAATATAATTTTTTAGTTGTTACATCCATGGTCCGAATATTATTTCTAAAAAAATTGGACTACATCTTTATTATGATTTGCAAAACATAAATAGAGTATTAAATAAAAATTATTATACATAATACTATATAAAATTTAAAAATTTGATTGAACATTAGGAATTGTTAGAAATGACTTTTTTTGATAAAGTATGATGTAATATACAAAATGATGATATGCATATGTTATGTTAGAAGCAAATGAAGTAATCATTTTAGAAATATTACAAATTTAATTCAAAATCTTCGTTCTGAATATAGAATTTAATGTGTATCCATTCGGTGCATCGACAATTCGTTGAAGAAAAATGTGTTGATGGGCAATTTGTCTCACCCACAATTCAGCGTGTGTATCGGCGACATAGAGATAATTTAAGTGCACAAATTTAGTGAATTTCAATTGGGTTCGACTATTTCGGTTGAGAGAAATTCAATGAAAGGACAATTCGAAGTTTTATGTCAATTAAGAAATGCAATAATTCTTAATGAACTATTCAGCACAGCGACAGTTCGTCATAATAAAAATTAGGTAGAATTATATTTCTAATCGGTTAATTCAGCATCACTTGGATTTGGAACCGTCAATTGGGTACAATTATGATTCAGTGTCAGATATGGACTGAATATACTGATAAATTATCATGATTTTTAAATCATGGCTAAAAGAAATTATCTCGGCTGAAAGGTTAGTTCTAAAAAAAATTCTTAGGGATTGATTAAATGTGCCTGCTAGGCTAGAATTACTTTATATTTTATATAATAAATAAATAATTTAGAATTACCCAGCCGCAGAGACTGTTGAAGTTTTCTTTTATATAATTGTAATTAATTTTTTTTAGCAGAATTCTTCTTTTTTCACGGTGAGTGTCAGATGTTCATGCAATTATGAAGGTAATGATACATATCGTCAATCAATATAATAACTTACTAAGCAACAATTTAGTTTTTGTTCACTTTTTAAATAAATCTAAGAACCAATATCTGTCTGACTATAACTATTCTCTTTCCTAAGTTACTTATGAGTGAAAGTTAGTTTTCCTAAAATAACTGTCCCAGGATGGGAGGTGGTCAAAACTATTGAAATAACTTTATCCTCTAGTAGTGTTGTTAAACGGCTTGTTTTCATCCGATTTTTTAAAACGGCGAACTCTTTATTCATAATAATATTATGCAAGCCTAAAGATTTTGCTCGTAGAGTAGCAAAAAGGTTTAATCATCTATTAAAGAAGAAATTTCAAGGCTTATAGTTAGATAATATTTTTCTGGAAAAAAATGTTGAAATAACCATTTATAAAAATGTCTCAAATCGAGTCGTTTAGCAACACTACCTTTTGATCATAGCTAGTTATATAGGATAACCTGAAAGTATTTTTTGAACTTGAATAATGACTGTTGAGATCGTTAAGATTAAAATATTATGTCAATCAAGGTTATTTTAGGTATTAGTATATTCTTTAACTAGTTATATGTTCGTGGAATAATAATAAAAATTTTATACATAAAATTATTAAATTTCGGGTGTATGACAATTAAGAATTTATAGACTAGAAATTTGAATATTGAGTGGAGATTGCGGGTTTCATTTTAAAAATACAAATTATGTACAAAGTCGACGAGCTCCAAATGATGGGAATCAAAATTGTTAGTGTATCACATATGATGATAAATTAAAAATAGCCTTGAATTTTAAATTGCGATGATTCACAAATGATAATGAATCCCAAATGGCCATGATGATAGTTGATTATAAATGGTAGCAAATATTAAAGGAAGATGGATCATAATTGTGATGAGTAAAAATGTGATAGATTAGTAATGGTAGCGAGAAAAATAATTTTTAAATTTTATTTTAAAATATTAAAACCAAATGGAAAAATTTATTAGGTTTTAAATATAAAATCAAAATAATATATATTTATAAGTGATTTTTGGTATAAAAAAATATATATTGTATTAAATAAAAAAAATCAAATAAAAATATATAGCAAAATATTTCTTTGATTTAATTGAAAAATATGATTGAAAAAAATACTGTGAAAAATATTAAGGAAGTATAAGATTAAAAAATACATTTATAAAAATATCCCGATAAACAATGCTAGTATTAAAAACACAAATTATCTAAAAGTTTACCCTGATTATGTACAGGTTAGATAGATAGATTTGATAAAATTAGAATGAAAATTTTATTATTTCACTTTTCTATTAACAATTTTTTAGTTTTATTTCTAAAATTATTGCTTGCATTTATGTGCATTGAAGATATTTATATTATTCCCTTTCAAGTGAATGAATAAGAAGAAATTGGAACAAATGATCTACCAAGGGGATATATTTCTCAGGAGGGTATTTTACTCAGAGGCTCATAGAAGTATTAGACCACTGATTGGGGAAAATAAAAATAAAAATTAAAAATGTTTTCTTAATACTTATTACAAATATAATATTATAAAATAAAGATTTTAGAATGTTGTGAGCCAATTTTTAAAAACGGCTAACTCAATACTTTAGCCAGAAAAATATCGCCTAAACCTTATAATTTCACTAATATATGGCTAGACCTTTGTGCCTTCTATAAAAAAAATCTTCAGGCTTGCTTAATATTTTTCTGGATAAAATATTGAGTTAGCCGTTTTTAAAAATCGACTCAAAACGAGCCGTTTAACAACACTAGATTTTACAAGTCGCTTTTCCATACTTAAAAAAATATCATAGATTTTATTTCAAATCTTCAAACAACAAATGTTTTTAAAATGTAAAATCTTGTTGATTTAATAGACTTACATTAGATAATAATGGTAAAAATTTTAAAAGAGAGCCAAGTAACAAGAATTTTTGATACAAAACAAAAAATATTCATAAATTAGAAAATTTTGTTGAAACTAATAGAAATATATAGGACTAGTGATGTATTACCTAGGGGATATGTATAAAGGCAAGACCGGGGGACTGAGCCCGCCCCTTCCCTCATCACCCCAAATTTTTACATAAGTTAAAAATTTAAATCCATTCGCTCTTTATTATGTTATGAAAATTAAAATTTTTAAAAAGTCAAAAATAGAAATTTTTTTTTTTCATTTCAACCTTTTTTTTATAGCCAGATGGCATCTTTATTATCTTAAAAAATAGAGAATCAAAAAGTTTTGTTTTTTATTTTTTTAATGTTTTTATTTTTATTTTTATTTTCCTTTTATTTATATTTTATTAACTTAAAAATTGTGATTTCTTTACGAAAAAGAAAATCCTATAATAATCGATCGTGATGAGAGGCTTTAAATTATTTTATCAGTGTCGTCGATTCCATGGGGGCAGCAGGGCTTTCCACTCATAATTGGAATTTTCATAAAATATATTATTGACCCATGAATATATTTTAAGATCAAATTTTCTTAAAATTTTTTATAACTTCAATAGAAATTTATAGCTTTATTTAAAATATTTAGTAAGGTTCACAGCGTCTACATGAGCGGGAGGGGTAGGAACAGTTTGTATCCTATTTTATGAGAGGGGTAGGGGGTAGGCTGCTTTAATGGGAGTAAGGGGTAGGCTGCTTTAATGGTGGTAAGATAAATTTTTGGGGGGTTATCTCTTAAATTTCCAAATAAAACTTTCTGCTATCATTTCAGCAAGCTCATAATGCCATAATAATTAATTCATTGTAAATAATGGAGGTTTTAATTGAATTTGTTGTCTAAAAAATAAATTCTTTATATTCACAAAATATTGATAGTTGGTAGTAGAGATAGATTAATGTAAGTTATCTTTTATAAATTCTCTGAAAAGAGTATCAATAAATTTAAAAGGTAAAAATAATAATAAGGAGACAACGCCGCCGAAGGTGGTCAAATTTTTTAGGGGGGTAGGCAAAGGTTTTTGAAGGGGGTTTGCATCCAGTGAAAATCCTGTCATGTAGACGCTGAAGGTTCACCACCAGAAAGTGCTTTAATAGCACCATTTTTAGCAGGTTTTGAGCTGACCCAAATAGGATAAGCTGAATTTTTAAGCGGTAGTTATTACCAAAGTCTTGTTCGAGGTTTGAATAGCTTAATCTTGAAAAAAATTAAATCGGGCCTCAATAGCAAATTTTTTCGACAGTTAGGACTGAGTAGATATAACAACACTACAAGAAACAAATAGTTCAATTTTAACAAAATTCTTTAGTGCTCAAATAAAAATTTGATATGTATTTTAATTTAAAAAGATAAATTTATTATTTTATATAATTTTGCCTTTTTAGGCTTTAGGTCCTTTAGGTCTAGATTATAACATTGTATGTTTTGTGAGGATCTTTAATTTATAAATTAAATTTAAAACATTTTGCGTACAAACCCTGTAAATAATTATGAAAGCCAAAATGAAATCTATAATTTTATGAAATATTATTATTATATATCCACATTGTGTTTTAAAACCTCACTTGAATTTTTTGAGTCTATTATTTACAAATTTTGTAATTAGAATCAAACCTTCAAAACTCCTATGCCAAATATAAAATTTTTCAGTGGTAGTAGTCATCCTGATCTAGCTGAAAAGATTGCTGATAGATTGGGAATTGATCTTGGAAAAGTGGTGGCAAAAAAGTTTTCAAACATGGAAACATGGTAAATTTAAATTAATTTTGCATTCAATGTTATATTCATGTTAAGTGTTGAAATAGGTGAATCTGTAAGAGGGGAAGATGTATACATATTACAGAGTGGGTGTGGAGAAATAAATGATAATTTGATGGAATTGCTAATTATGATAAATGCATGTAAAATAGCCTCCGCTGCAAGAGTTACAGCTGTGATGCCATGCTTTCCATATGCACGGCAAGATAAAAAAGATAAAGTATTTAATATTTTATTTATTTAACTCATATCTACTTAAATAGAATATAAATGCTATAAAATATCAATTGAAAATTCAATAAATGTATTTTAAATAAAAATATCAGTGCAATTACTAATTTATTCTTATAGCTATATTAAAATCTGAGCTTTAATGGGCCTTCTATAAATTATTTGGCTTTTTTAATTATATATTTTTTAAAGGAGGTCCAAAATCATAAAAATATTTATTTATGTATTAGATCTCAAGGGACTAATATATTTAACCCAATCTGACCCATAGAAATAAAAAGTTCTTTACTGACCCAACCTGAAAACTTAAAAATTTCAGACCCAATCCAGGTATAAAATTATATCCATATTTTTACCCAAAAATTGATTTATTTATCACTAAATTAAAAGAAATAATCTAAAATGAACAAAATTATATAACATTAATATATAATTACAAAAAGTATTGTAGTATTTATTTTATTTCAAAAACAAAAAATTGTTACCTAGAAGGCACTTATATAAAAAAAAAATTAATAATATTTTACATCAATATTCGACTTAAAATAAATGAATTAAATCAAATATAATGCGTTTATAGAATTATTATTTTTTGAACCACCAATTTTTTTAATATTTAAATTAGAAATATGCAAATCTTGGCCTATTTTGGACTGTTAAAAATTTTTGCACAAGTTACTTGGCTAGGCTATTTAAACCCAACCTGACTCATTATAATTTAGAAAAAATTTGCCTGAACCATTAAAATCTTACAAAGATTTTTATCATTAAAGCACTCATTTACCTGTATATTTTTAGCCGCACTTAACTCTTTCTACCAGAGCAATTGATGACCAAGTGGTTGTTATATTTAATGAATAACAACTTTATATTGGTATAATCATTAAATATAAATATATTAAACCTACACTCATTTAAAAAAGAATTATTCAAATTTGATGAGTTTTAAAATTATATTATTATTTTTATTTCATATAATGAAGGGCTAAAAAATCTAGTATTAAATTATTTGATTTCTTTTCAGAGATTGTCTGGAAGTATTGATCTAAAAATTATGATAAATATATATTTTTTAAATTAATGTAAATAAAATAATAAAATTTATCATTGTCATCCATTGCAAAAAATAAAATTTATCTGGTTAGTTTTTGTTATAAATTTGGACATATTATTAAATGAAATAAATTCAAATATTATTATTTTTGATATAAAAAAACGTTTTATTAGATTATAAATGTATCTAGATACTTTAATAAATTTGAATATTAATTACCCATAAATTGATTACTATATCTTTAAATGTCAACTTTTTAAATATATGTTAGTCATATGAATTATTGAAGGGTACATTAGGTAGTAAGTTAATAAACAATAGAAAAAGAAAATGGCAAAAATTTTAAGTCCTGGTCTTTTTACTGGGCATAAACTATAAATAACCATATTCTTTCATTTAATTTTCAATCTTATATACCCAAATTGATTTAGCCTTTAAGGGAAAATGACTTTTTTTAACTTTTATACCTGAATATCTTGGGTAATATAAAAGTTATCGATTCATAGGCATGCCCACGTTTGCTAAGGGGGGGGGGCATGTGTTTTTTCCTCCATAAATTTTATTGGAGGTCTTTAGGTTCACTTATTGTAGGCCTTTGGCTATTTTATAAAAATAATTTTGGGTTATCACTTTTTTTTATAAAATCAAAAATAGCTTTTATTTTTAAAAATTATTAACTTTTACTAATTTTTCCTTCAAATTCTTCTCTATAGTGATATATTGTATACATTTTTTGGGGGGGGGGGTGTTAGGGGAAATTTTTTATTCGTTTAAAATGGTATTTACAAAAACAGACAAATTTGCGAGGGGGCCCTTGGTTACGCGCCTGTATCGAGTTCAAATTTCGTTTCTGATCTAATGACATAATATTCGAAAATAATTTTTGTACTGGAATTGAAGATCGACCAAAAAGGTTCCTTTTTCATCGATTTGGCAATGAAATATTTAAATAGTATATATTAAGTAAGGCTGTTCCAATCCACAAATTTCTCACCAATCATATCCCATATTTTATTATATATTATTATTTTACCTTACCGATCCGAAATTTATACTGATTTATAATCAATATTACCAATATTTAAAAAAATAAATATTTTCTATTTTAAAATGCCAACCATCTTTTACAAATGACTAAATCATTTTATTTAAAATTAATGTTTATGGCTGAATCTAGTATTATTAAATGCCTCGGCTATGATAAAACGACTAAAAAAATGGTTTGCCCAAAATATTATTGCCTTTACCTATAAATTCCGTTAATAGATTCCTAAACCTTTCTACTTACTATGAACAAAATCTCCAAGATTGGGTATTTTTTGGCTTGATTTAGCCGTTTTAAAGAATCTGTGAAATCGAGCCATTTATCAACACTAGATAAATTCAAATAATTTTATTGTTGTAGATAACATTTTCTTATTTTTTTAGCTACTCTATCTTAAAATTTTATAAAATAGAGACTTACAGAGGTACCATTTGCATGGCCTGACCGTATTTTTTTTGAAAAAAATTTTCTGTTCCACCTCTAAATAGCAAGAATCATAAAAGCAAGGAATTGAATGAATGAAAATCTTAAGAAGTCTAATAATATATAAATAATTTTATAAATTATAAATATATAAATCATTTTATTATATTATTTTTGTTATATAATTATAATATTACACATATAAGTTTTATATATTAATAGTGTTGTATATATAAATTATTAGACATATATAAATCATTTTAATATTATAAAACTATTATTATATTATTATAAATATATATTACACATAATTATTATCTAATAATATTATAGTATTTTATAAATTATTAATATATAAATTGTTTTAAATTATAAATGTACACATATATCTTTTATAAATTTTAACTATAATTTATCCATATTAATATTATATTTATTATATGATAATATAAACATGTATATTACAATTGTATTTAAATCATTTCTATATTATATGGGGGGGGGGGTATATTGTATAATTACCAATTCATACATTTATTTTCAATTTTAAAATGTTTGATGTGAATGATTTACTATATCTATTTTTTATATTATTTGTTGATACGACTGAGCATAGAAGAAGGCATAGATTTTTACAAGGCCGGTATATATGATATTATTTACATTATATATATTAATTCTAGAGATCAAGGACTTTTTAAAATATTTGATTTTATTCCATCTTATCCTGACAAATTTCGTCAGATGTTCCACATGCATGTGGAAACATTCAACTACATTCTTTTAAATTTCAAGTCTATAGACACCGCTATAATTATACATAAAAACTCTATTAATGTGAAGCATTGACTCTATATAACACTCATGTATGATGATTATTTTTTTTTATAATCTGTATATATTTATAGATATTTGACAACTGGTATGAGCTTTAGAAAAATAGCATTATATTCAAAGATTTGAAAAACATCTGTATACACAATTGTCACAGCAACATATAGGTTATTATGGGTAGGTCTTCAACCCAAGCATCTCTGTTTACCAACAGTTCAACAGATGCTTGAAATATCAGAAAGATACTTCAGGAAATCAGGTTTTCCTCATATAATAGGTGCATTGATGGAAAACATGTCAAAATAAAACAACCTAAAAAAAGTGGATCCACATTTTATAATTATAAAAAATTCAATTCCATTGTGATTCAAGGTATTTCAGATGATAAAGCTAGGTAATTATATATTTTCTAAATTTTAATTCTTTTCTAGATTCATGTTGATTGAAGTTGGGTTTCCTGGATCTATATCAGATAGAAGTATATTTTCTAAAAGCCTATTTTATGAAGGGATGATCAAAAAAATCATAAAGATTCCCAATCCAAATTTTTTACCCAACAGATATATTATCACCTTACATATTTGTAGGTGACGATGCATATCCTTTAATGGATTTAATTATGAAACCTTATAAAACAAATTTGAATGATAATAAATCAAATTTCAATACAAAATTATCAAAAGTTAGAGTATCAATAGAGAGATGCTTTGGCATCATGAGTGCTAAATTCAGACACCTTTATAAACCATCAGAAACAAATATTACCAATACTATACAAATAGTTAAGGCTGACTGCCTATTACACAATATTATAATTGATCTTGAGGGAAATCATTCTACACCAATAATTCATGAAAAATATCCTATTCCAAATTTTACCCGATCTCAGTTCCAGCGATGGACTGAAAGCTCTAATAATATCAGAGAAACATTTAACTTATTTGTAAAAAATTATATGTAAAATTTTTGTATATATTTATTTCTTAATTCCCATAACCTTATATTTCTTAATTCTCATAACCTTATATTTCTTATGAATGTTTTCATTTAAATTTATATAATTTTTTTAAGTATTCAATAAAAAGTGCAATAAAAAGTGTTGTTTGATTATATTGTATAAGTAAAATATTTGTAATTAATTTAATGAGGAAGACTGCTACAATGACTAAATTTACATTTTTTAACATTAAATATAATAATTTTTATTATAAAAATATACAAAATATGTTAAACATTATAAATATGGTATTAAAAATTAAGATATAAGAATATAATATGTATAAAAGATTACATATAAATAGATATAAATTCTAAAAATTTCATTTTCATTTCATTTCTTTTTCAGTCATGTGACTGAAAGTTGTTTGGAAGGACTTAAAAAATCCCTGAACATGATGAATATCATCATCATATGATATTTTTTTGGCATAATCTATTTCAAATAAATAATTATTAAATACAATAAATATTTACCTTTAAATATATCCATCTTTTCAGTATCATATTTTTTACTTTTGTTTATTCTTTTAGATTTAGGATTTTCCAAATTTTTCCTTTTAGAGGTACAAGGAAAAATATTTTCTTTATTAGAATTGTCTAACTATTATTAAATTAATAAAATAAATAATAAATA